CAGCAGTGAGATAATGACCTTTCAGTTTTTCACTGAGAATATTGAGTTTTTTTTTTATACAAAAGATACAATCAAAATCTAAATTTTTTATTGAATAAAATTTAACAATAAATTTATTCAGCCAATAATGAAAAGACTAACTCCTAATTACCAAGATGATTTTCTTATTGTGACTACGCTTGTCTCATTTAATAGTAATTTCTTGTTTGGCAAGATAGTAAAACAGCTCAAACGCTTTATAAGGCCCTGATTTTCAGGTTTAAAGAACACCTGCAACGATAGCCATCGATTAATATCTTTTATCGACCTTATAGGAGCTCTATCTACCTGAGCAGGTTTTTTTAACGAAGCCGGCTTTAATTTTTAACCGTAAAAAAACTTGATTTATTTTCTTTGAGTTCAATAAGCGGAGTTCAGACCCTAATCTTTCCCGGTCTTTTTTTTTTTGGACCAAAACCGGTTGTGTCATTTGTTTTAGTTCTGGCTCGATTAGCGCTGGAACGAACGAGCTAGAACGGATGATTCTTTTTTCGGTAGTCGACAGCCAGCGCGCACGATTGCGACTGCTTCCGAGGTTTTGATGCACGGGACGAACGTTTTCCGTTTTCTTCCAAACACCAGGCAGAATTATCAATACCAGAATTTTGGTCAAATTTATTTTTCACGTTTCTGGCCGATAAAGGGTACCCAGAAAGCAGAAAATACAAACAAAGAATTGTTTTTTCAGTGGTTTCATAAGAAAAAACCGCTGGAAGAATATCAGATATGGATTTTTTTTTCTATTTTCGTGGAAGAAATGATTTTTTCTTGGCCCCCGATTACGAGAGTAGATATTTTGTCACATTTGAGATTGCGGTTATTACTTATGCGCATCTTATGCAAAATTCATTTTGTGGACGATAAGGGATTTTTCTCTATTTTAACGGTTTTTGGTCCAAATTATCATTGTGACACCCTTATTTTCCTGAATAACAATTTTGTGAAAGCTCTATCTAGTTAATTTTTCGGCTCCATTTCAATTTTCCATCCCAAAATGTTCTGCGAAAATTATCAGTTTTTCCCAAATCTCCATTTTGACCAAAATTTTGGGGTGGCGTCATGAACCGACAAAAACACGTCGAAAAATTTTGCGTGGGCGGCTACTCGGCGGCTGATTGGCCGTTGAGCCAATTCCAGGCTTCTGATTGGTCGAAAATTTCTACGCAAAATTTGGTCGAAATCTTTTTGTCAGTTCCTGACACGAAATTTTTGGGCTCGAAAAATAAAAATTATAATATAAAATATATTTTGAGCGGAAAGATAAGAGTGTCGCTATCTTAATTTTTGGACAAAATGCATAAAAAAATCTTTTATCGTCATGGTCGCCCCCTAAAGAGGGTAGTTATTTTGTCACATTTCTCATTGCGGTTATGCGCATCTTATGCAAAATACATTGTGAGGGAGGAGCGATTTTTCACTCGGTTTGGGGGTTCTCGGAACGCGAGCCAACTGGTGCATATTACATCAGCACGCGACAACTCTCCACAGCCACTCACACAAAATCGAATCCAACTGCCGATGCTGCAGCACCTGCACAGCGTTTTTATTCAAACCCCTTTTTCGACTTTTTTCCTTTTTTTTTCTCTTTTTCTAAACGTGCGCTCTATCAAGTACGCGACTTATTAAAGCTTACAGTTATTTTTCAAGCTCACTCCAATTTTTAAATCACCTCACTGTCTGCCACAGTTTTTTTCATAGGGCAATTTTTATACAGAAAATGAAATAAAAAGAGCATTTTTTGGGGAGGTGTCTGGAACCGACAAAAAATTTCGACAAATTTCGCATGAGAATTTTCAACCAATCAGAAGCCCGGATTCGGCTCACCGGACAATCAGCAGCCGAGTAGCCGCCCAAGCAAAATTTGTCGAATTTTTTTGTCGGCTCCAAACGCGAACCCCTTATTTTTGGCAAAAATGGATTTTGGCCAATCAGAAGCCTTATTTGGGATTTTTGACCAATAGGGTTTATTAATAGGGCATTAATAGGGTTAATAAGAGCCCGAATTTTCCCGGAAACTGGTAAAAAAACCTGAGTCAGGGTCGAGAAAGTGCCTGACTCAGGATTTCTACACAGGTTGTTGAGCCGATATCACCTGAAATCTTAAGGGTATACAAACGAAATTGGAAAAAAAATTCATTTTTGCCAAAAAATTTGGACGAAAAACGCTCTTTGTTGAACAAAAAATCAGTTGCGAAAGTTGTGGAGTTGTGGAGATGGACTTACGTTTACAATGGAATGCAGTCGGGAAATCTCAAACTTGGCTCGTTTTTCTAAAGAATGCGAATTAACATCGGCGGAGCCACAATCTTGGCTAAAGTGACACAAGAATAAACCACGTCGCTTTCTCACGCAAAATAGAAAAAAAAGAAGAAAGCAACGAAAAAAGTTCCATTTTCCATGTTTTCCCTTTTTTGAAGAACCGAGGTATTTTTCCGCTGACGGAATTACGGCGAACAACAAATTAAGGGGTTAGTCACTTGAAGTCACTTTGAAGTTTTTTGTTTTTTGAACAAATTAGCGAATTAGTAACGCGACGAAAAGAGCGGAGAATGTGCGAAAAGCCATTTATTCGTGGACAACTGGAATTTTCTTATACAAGTTTTTCGCGTCTTACTTTTTGTTCAAAAAAAAAGAAAAACTAACAAAATAGGCCATAAATGGCGCTGTCAACGAAAAATCGCCACCTGTTATTGAAAAGATCTTTGATTGGTCAAAAATTCAATTATTGCTTTTGGGTTGAATAAAGCCAACTTATAGTCTATAATTTATCTTTAAGTTATAGATAGATTTAAATTTGATTGGCCGAGAAAATGGAGCCATAGATGGCGTTGTTCAAAGAAACATGCCATTTAGAATGTATTGGAGAATCCTATTTATCAAAAATTGATGTTCAAGTAACAGTTAAATTATTGCTCCTATGAGATTATATACTTGATTATTGATTGGCATTTTAATTACAATTGTATTTTTGTACCTCTAGAACTCATGCTCAATCCTTCCAAGTTCTCTCTTTATCTTTTTCCGTCGTGTCGTTTTTGGTTTTCTAAAACTATCACATGGCGAAAAAAAGGCTCGTTTTTTAGCACCGAGCGGCAATACTTCATAGTTTTCGGATTAGAGCTGTCCCAACAGCTCAAACTTGTCAATTCATCTTGCGAAAATTAAGGACCGCTTTTTGCGACTTTGATGATTGATTGAACCGAAGCTGAATTTTTATTGTAAAAAAAAAATGAAAAAAATTTTGGCCGAAATTTTGATTTTTACCCATTTTTGAAAATTTTTTGAAAATTTTTTTAAATTCTTTTTTTGAAAAATTTTGGATCGAACAGCTGGTTTATTTATTTCTATTGAAAACATCTGAAAAAGAAGCTCCTTTTGGTGTGAAAAAGAATTGAGCGCGAGTGTCGTTTTCTAAGTTTGGTTTGACAATTGTGGCTCTGTTTTGTCGATAAAACCGAGGTTCTAAAAGCGCCCGTTCACGGCAACGTTTTAAAATCGCCAAGTGAAAACATGTTCAACAAAATATAAAATACGATGCGAGTTACGAGTGTTTTCAGCGACGTAAGACAAGCAACGTAAAATTGAGAAACTGATTCAAGCTGTTTTTCATTGCGACTTATAAATTGACGAAAATCGGTAAGAATTTAAAAGTTTTTTTTTTAATTTAAAATTTGAACTAAGGAAATCAATTTTTTAAAAGATTTTCCAAAAAAGCGTTGAATTGTTGAGTGACTGAAAAGTTAAAACAAAATTTATTATAAAGAGAGGATAAATTTACGTCTCGTTTATTTAATCAATAATTTAAATGTACAGAATTATTGTCGAATTGTAATATTCCAGCGAACATACCAATGACTTCCTTTGAGTTTTACCATTCCTTGTGAATCCGGCGTCAATTTCTTCGCCGAGTTGTAGCTCTTCCCATCAATATGGCCAATATCGTCCGCATCGGCTTGAAAGTCGACGCGTTTTCCTAAAAAAATAAAAATCTCAAATTCAACAATCAATACCGTTGAAAAGAATCCACATTTTCCAGAAGCCGTCGCCGCCGTAGCTTCTTCTCTCCGATTGATGACGGATTGTCCATCCAGCTTCCGTCACTTCTAAATTTTCGCCGTACCAAAACTTTATTTTGGATGAAAATCGCGTCGAAACAAAAATCAAAGAACAAAAAATGCGATTTTATCCAATTCCTTCAAATTGAAAGTCGAGTAGCCGGCTGCCATTGTTCGGAGCACCTTTCGCACTGCATCTTCGTTGTGGTTCAATCGTAGGTCGACACCAAAGAAATGTCCAAATCCATTAATCGCAGGATTTTCCCCAAAAGAGCGCACAATTTCCGATCGATCAGCAGTTGTCTGTTTTCGCTGAGCACTGTTTTTAGCTTTCTTCAATTCGTTCAAATCGCTGTTGAGTTTTTGATTCATTCTTCGCACTTCGTTCAGATCATTGTTCAGCGTGTTGACTTGTCGTCTCAATTGCGCGTTTTCTTTCCTCATTTTTTCAATGCTACTTTTCGCCAAATCACGTTCGCGAGAAAGCTTATCGACTTGATTCTTCAATTGAATATTTTCTTGATTGAGCAATTCGTTGATTTTCATTGTTGTATCCATTTTAGAAAGTCCAAAAGTCAGATCAGCCGGCAAAACTCGATTCTTCAACTGCTCGATCAAACTGACCAGGGCCGGGTGAGTCATCAAAGCAGCAGCACTTTCCGCTCTTTCGCTGATTTCAACAACAAGACATCTTCTGATCAAAGACTCCATCGCCGGGAAAATCACTTCAGCAGGTCTCCTGGCATTGTTGACAATATTCGTCATTGTCTGAAACGCGTTTCCAGCCGTAAAGGGATGTCTTTATCAAATTTAACAGTTATTAACACTGGTTGATTTCCAAGGAAAATTGTTAAATCGTTCCTGAAAGTACAGAGCATTTGAAAAACGACTCCAACCGCCCAAATATCATGGCAGAAAGAGAGGCCCAGTGCTCCCTTGATTTTTGATCGTCTCGGGAGCCAAGTAGTCCATTGATCCAGCGACGCCAGTGTGAATCGTTACTTCTGCAGAGCGGGAGATGTTGAAGTCCGCAATTTTCACCTAAATCATGAAATCAACATTCCTATCGCTCTTTGGTTCGATACCTGTTGGAAATCAGCGGACATGAGGATGTTCTCGGGCTTGATGTCTCGACGGATGATGTTCTTCCCGTGAATGTAGTCTTATCAAAGATATGAGGATGGTTTTGATACAAACGAACTTACTCAGAGCTAGAACAAGCTGGGCTGAGATTCGTAAAGCGTCATTCTGAGCCCACGGAAGTTCGTTTTCACCGCCTTCTAAAATAATAACGATATTATTATTTCAAAGATGCAGCTTTGACTTACGATTGTTGAGCATGTTTTCGAAAAACTGAGCCAAATCGCCTCCAGGAAGATATTCCAGGATCAGACCAGAGTATCGAAGACCGTTCGGGCCAGTAAACATGAAGTTGTCAAGCAGTTTTACGACGTACTCATGGTCTTTTGATGATTTCACCAGCTGGTTCCTGTAAATGATTATCTGTACAAATGAGCTTCCTGTACAAATTAATATGAAGCTGAAATCATTCCTAATTGCTGAAGAAGATTCACTTCCAAATTGGCTGCATGTTCTTCTTTCCGCCCGAAAAGCCCGATTCCTTTCAGCATCTTCAGCTCGTTACCTGGAAACAACAGTCAACATAGCCAAGCATGCAGTTCAAACACTGTTTCTCAAACAGAACTGGAGTCGCAACGCTATTACGTAACACCGTACCGGGCAATGGGTACTTACCATTTTCTTGGTCCTGGACGACAAAATAAATCTTTCCCTCTCTAGCTTCCTTTAGCTCTCGTAACACTCGATATCTCCCATTCAAAACTTGTCCGATCATGTTCAAACTCTTTGATGAACTGTAGCTCTCTGTAGCTAGTAGCCTTTGGCGACAGAATGGAACTAAAGCGAGGGGTGTTGTCGTTTTTAACTGCTTCGATGCACTTCTTGTTCAAATATTTCAAACTGGGCTCGGCAACCTGAGTTGAAAACCTGAGTCAGGGTCTGAAAGATCAAAAATGAAAAGCCGCGTAGCGCCTTTTTTAAAAACGAAGCCGCAAAGCGGCTTCGCAAAATTATCATTCAATCATATTTTTAACTTCTGGCGAATCCGCTTTGCTGCTTCGTTTTTAAAAAAAGCCACTACGCGGCTTTTTATTTATATCTATCAGTAGGGAAACTCGATGAAAAATGAGCTTTTATCATCAATTTTTATCAGTTTGAGTTTTTTCATAAGTTTCAGGTGTAATCAAATTCTCTGCTTCAAGAATACAACAAGCTCTGCTAAAACTCAAATGGAACGTATATTTATCGTTCATTTTGAGTGAAAAGAAGTAAAAGAAGCTTTTTTGACAAAAATGCCTGAAGAGAATGATCGAAGGATACAGTGAATCGGCCTGGCCGCGCCGCTGACGAACTGATAAGAACGTCATAGGCTTTCTTACTCACTCATTTTACAACAATTGAAATTCTCTTTTTAACTGGTCAAAAAGGCTCTTATCTCTGGAAAAGAAAGAAAAAGGATAAAAATCAAGGAAGAAAATATAAATTATACCGTAAAAATGTGATTTTAATCATTTTTAACTGTTTCCAGACATCAGATTTGGCTAGTTTGAAATTTGTAAAATTTGACCCCAAGTGACCTCAAGTGACCTCAGATGACCTTTTATGATATTTTAACAAATTTCTAATTGTTTACGAAAGGGTTTATAGAGAAAAACCTTGATTTTTGAAGATTTCAGATATTGCCTCTAGAATCGGGGCCGCCCACGCCTCTAGAATGGGGGGGTGACAAAGGGTTTCTATACTGATTCTGAACCGTCAGAGCCTCCTCTAAAAGATGCTGACCAGTATAGACTCTGAAAATGGACTACCGGTACCTTTTTAATCCCTTTTCTGGAACTACCCCCATTTTCCGGACTTTAGACGCCCAAAAACGCCCCAGGGCATGACCTAAACCCCTGACTGTAAATAGTCAAAATGATCCCCAGCTTCTGGGCTTTCTAAAAGGTATTATACTCCCTCCCTACTAAGCCCAGTAAAAGCTCATTTTTCATCGAGTTTCCCTATCTATCAGACCCTGACTCAGGTTTTTACTCAGGTTGTCGAGCCCAGATTTGAAAAACAAAGAAACTGAAAAGGAACATTTTTGGGCGCAGATTTTGGAAACGAAGAAGGTTCGTTTCAAGAGCGCTGGGGCAGCGAAAGAAAACCGCGTTCGATTGTGCAAGTCGGCTTGATTAGTGGCGAGTCTGTTGCCGCGCTGGTACTCTGATAAGTCGCCACAAGCAGACAAGATTTTCACGGAACGCGCAAGAACTCCCAAGTCCCTCATTTTTCCATCCAAAGTGGCAATTACAATTTTTAAAAAGCGTTGCGTCTAAACGCGGGTTTTAATCGTATTTAAAACTATTGATAAATAGCCAACTCGGTTTGCGGCTTTTTGAAAACAAAACAAATGGACTCGATTTTTGTTTTCAAACAAAATCCAATTTGTTAATTCAAAAGCCCTGGGAAAAATAAACATTTGCGTTTTTCATTTTCAAAACAGGTGGGTTCTCCTTAATCCTAAAAAGCAAAAAAGGAAAAAAGCGCAACATGTTCAAAAAAGTAATAGTTTATTCTGAGCGCGGGATTTTCGAGGAGAAAAAAATACTCGACTGGGGATTATTGAAATCAACGTTGGGACCGCTCGATTCCAGCAAATTGGCTTTCGGGAAACAGAAACATTGGATTTGCGAATTTCAAATTTCAGGCGCCAGAAAATCATTTAAGGCTCTCACCATTGTTTTTCGATTTTTAGCGTTGGAGAGCAACCTTTATCGCAAATAAGTACAATAAAAGACTTTTTAGGGGCCACCCGTCAGCTTTTTCCTTCGAAAAATGAAAATTTTTTAAACCGCCATATTTTGGTTCTAAATGCGTCCTCAGGTTAAAATTCTTGATGAGAGAAATTTTTGACCAAGAAAAATCAACATTTTTGCCAAAATTAGGGCAAATTCGTCAATTTTCGGCGAAAAGTCCAATTTTCAATGGCGATTTTGGTGGTGAAGGAGTCGAGATGGACCCGAAAAAATGAAGGGTTAACATCATTTTAGTCGTGTAGAATCTATTTCCGGGGTCAAAATTTTGAAATTCCAAAATTTGATTTTTCGAAAAATTTGACGGGGGGTTCTTAAATTTATCCTTCAAGTCTTTAATTTTTATGGAAATGTTTTTTGAACCCTGACACAGGGTTTTAACACAGGTTTTTTTTTAACTGTATAGTTCGATTTTCTTTATTGCAGCTTTATTCATTTTCTTGTCTTATTTTCAGTAAGGCAAGAGCTGTTGATTAATTTTTCTCGAAGCTCCGGATTTTGAGACATTTCGAAGTATCGGTCGATCTCGTCTTTTGTCAAAATTCCTTCGTAAATGATCATTTCGGCCATCTGCTCTCGAGCGCAGTGAATAAAGCTTTGCGTCAGGAACCAGCCAAATCCACGACCAGGATATTTCTGAAGCGAGTTTTGATGAAATATTGGAGAGTAAAACTAACCTGAGCAACGCTTCCTGTAGTGATTTCTAGCACAGGCGCTCTTATCAGTCCAAAGATTTCATAACCCCAGTGTTCAGCTTCCAGTTGTCTTTTCTCGATTTCATAGAAGACTTCTTTGTCCAATTTTTTCGAGAAAAAATGAGATAATTGTGTGTTTTTGAAAGAACCATCGAGTTGTTCGGTTTGACGAAGATGCGCACACACCCAATTGTCTTCGCCGACTGGGAATCTTGCTAAATTACAGTTGCAAAAAATATACTTGGATTCAAGTACAGGTAACCGTTGTCAAGTGCCATTTCCTCGCGAAGTTCTCGTTTCAAGCATTCAAGAACAGTCTCTCCCACGTCGACTACTCCTCCTGGAAATCCCAAGAGCCCGTCTGATCGGAGCTGCATCATCAAAATCGCCTTGACAGGAGTGTTTCTGATCGTCTTCGTCTCTGGCTCGCACCAGAATGCGCAGTGCGCAGCTTTTACTACGTCAGTTATTTCATCAGCTTCGTCCTTAGATATTTTCGTCCATATCTCCATGTTCTTTTTCTCAAATACTAAATCAAGTACACGATCTTTCGAAAACGATAAACATGATTCATAAGTTATGAATCATAACTTTCTCTTCGGAGTCATCCATTTCCTGTGCTCAAAATTTACAGTTAAATTACTGTTAGAGCGTTTTTTGAAGGAATTTTATAAAAATAAGGGTGTCAACAATTTAATTTTTGTAAGAAAATTGCCTTAAATTAAGGGGAGGTGTCTGGAACCGACAAAAAAATTTCGACAAATTTTGCGTGGAAATTTTGAACCAATGAGAAGCCTGGATTCGGCAAGTAGGCCAATCAGCAGCCGACTAGCCGCCTACGCAAAATTTGTCGAAATTTTTTTGTCGGTTCCAAATACCATCCCGGAAAATTGCTTAAAATAAATACTTATATAATTTAGTGACACCCTTATTTTAATAAAAAAATATTTATTTAAATCATTATGATAATAATAAATGATAATAAAAATAAAGTAAAAAATAAAGATTTAAAAAAGGTAATTTTTCCTGAAAACGCTGCTGGTTGAACCCTAAGGTCGTCTCCTCGACTTCTCAAGTTGCCCGTAAAATTCTTCTTTTCAGCGTCGAGAGTCGCCTTTGCAGCTGGTTCTCCTTCACTTTGTGGAACGTGCTGGGCATTGGTAACTTATAAAAAAGCGGCTGGCTGGCAAATGAATCTGGATTTCCTTTTTCCCAAGCGCCGAAAAATGAACGGGAGGAATGCGCCGCCGAGATGAAAACTCGAAAAAACGAGCAACACGCGTTTTTTGTTTTGAAAAGAAAATTGCCAAAATTTTAGCTTCGGCGGCGGCTGAAACGCGCTCTGGCACCTTTAACCTAAAACCTGTGCTTTATTAAATGGGCAATTAACCCCTTCTTGCTAGAACTTCTGGAGCTCGTTACTAGCACCTGTATTTCGGGATGTTCTATTTTCTTGAATCCTATTAGATACCGAGGAATATACATCTCTTTCTTTCCTGCCTGGAGGACCCCTCCTACTGGAAGAATTTTAAATAGAAAGAAGAATAATCTCTTCCAGAGAATTTTTCATTTACCGGATTTTTTGTCACGGAAACAAAATCATTCCGAGAAAAAAAAATCACGTGGAACTTCGGAGGACCCCGGAGGACCTCATTTGATGGAAGATTTTTAAAGAAGAAGACAGTGACTCAAGTTCCTGAAAGTCAGTTTTTTATTCGAGCTCTTTCAGGACTCAGGTTTTCTTCACAGGTTTTGAGCCGAGCTCCAAAATAAACTTTTGCTTTTTGAACAATGCTAAAATATTGACACCCTTATTTCCCTTGAAAATTTTTAAGGATTTTGAGAAAAAGATTGCACGTTCAAAAGTTTGAGCACCTTTTTTATCGGAGATAATTTAATTTTCTTTATGGAATTAATTTTGCTTTCGAATTGAGAAATATTTTCACATTTGAGACTTTCTTTTCGCCCCGAGACCACCCTTGACCGTCTCTGTTTCAAAATTTTCCTCGAAAAATGTCGCGTGCATAAATTACTCTTTCATCGCTTTTTCTTCCCTTTTCGACCTTCCAACCCCATCCCTTTTTCGAATCGAATTTCAATTAATGGAATTACAATAGTAACGCATTTAAAATCATCGTTCTTGCAACCACTGTTTACGATGTTTAATAAAAAGCCATTTCCCTCCTTTTCCAGCTCTCGCGCGCCGCCAGAACGCTCTCGCACCGCTCGGCCGCTAAACGGCGCGGCGTGGCGGCGCTCGCGAGCTGCAGCGCGGCGATCACGAGCTGAAATATTTCTACGCCAAGACTGCTGCGATCGAGTTTAGTGCTACCGATATCACTTTATTTACGGCGCGTAAAGCATTTTTTTTCCCGCTAGAGACCTTGTAACCCCAGTGAAGAAAAAAAACATTTCAGAAAAGTTGTTTTCAATTTTTGAAATAATTTAAAAACCAGAACAATTCAAATCGAGATTTCCATTTGAGATTTCCAGAATACAAAAAGAAAGAAGTTCCAGAAAAAAAAACTCCGAAAAAAATTTTTCTCGAAAAATTTTCCAAAAAATTTGAGAAAAATTAAATTTTGAATTTTGAATTTTCGCTGAAAAAATTTCCAATTTTAGCGAATTTTTCAATTGAATTTAACTGAAAACCGTGCGACGGACTTTCAGCCCTGTATTTGACTGTATTTCGATTGCAGTAATACAGAGAACACGGAACATCGCTAATTTCGCGGCAACTGGCGGATTTTTACCTGGTCGCTTAAGGATTATAGCTGCCTTACGAGTGTAAAGCAAGTGACAAGTTTTTTTTGTTAAAACCAACGAAAACCGAACTCAAAAAATGACCCTTTCCTGCCTCCAGAGATTGTGCTGCCTTAATGCTGAAGATGAATACTCAGGTTCGTGCCCAAATCATGGCACAGGTTAAAAGTACCAATTTTATTTTTTTTTCATGACAACTAATGATTTTCATTAAATGAATTGTCGGAAGCCAATTTCCATTAAAATTATTTTTCTTCTCGTGACAACTCATGATTTTCAAAATTATGTTTAATTTTTTTTCTTTAAAAAATTAAAAAAAACAATCGTTAATTATTATTCTAAAATAAAATTATAGTATAAAAAATAGGATTATGATAATTAATATTTAATAAAAGTCAAAAACTAAGACCCGCCCTTCAAAAATTTAATTCATGAGAATGAATGTATTTTTAGTCGAATTTTTATATTTTTCTCTTTTTTTGATAATGAAATTAGAAATATTTATTCTCGTTTTACAGAAAATAACTAAATAATATAATTCTCTCGAAATAAACGAAATAATGAAATAACAAGATTTTCTTTAATTAATAATGGTGGGTTTTCATTTTGCCAAAAAGGATTATTAGTGATAGAAAAATTATCAAATCGTTGCCCTGGCATTAATTCCAGCACTCGTTACGATAAACAATTATCTTGGCGAGTCATATGCCGCGCCCCCAGTGGCCGGAGCTTTCACGAAACTTACGCCAGCCAATTAATTCCGAATCGTATCGCGAAAGATACGCTTTTTGAACTAGAAATTTAATTATAAGTTTACTACTAAAATCTGCTAAGGAGCAAATAAAAAAAAAGTTTTCATAAAATTATTGTAAAAATTAAAATAAACGTTCAAATTCATGAATGTTCAACATAAACTAATTCTCGTAAATTCCGACTCAAAATTAATACCGAGCGCTAAAAAAAGGAAAAAGCTCGCTAAAAAGGGAGAAAACTGTAATTGATCCTGAGCAGTGGCTTAGTCAAGGACCCGCGTGGAGATTCCCTTTCACCGCTAAATTGTTAGCTCCTGGAATTTTTATTTCTAATCGTATTTTTTCAAAACACGGAGAATTTTCTTGTCACGAGAGAAAGTCTGATTCATCCCTTATTTTTTGCAAGCCAAGAGATAGACCTTTTTTTAATTACTATTTTAGTTGCATTTTTTCGCAAATTAATTAAAATTTAAAAAAAGAAAATCATGAAATCTCATTTTTTTAAGGATTCTAAGGGCCTTTTCCATATCATATATTTTTTTCTTATCATTTTAAAGATTAATTTATAAAAAATAAGTTCCAAAATAAATTTGCGAGAGCGATCAGGTGGCGCGCGAGAGCTTGAACAGAGAGAAATGGCTTCGTATAAATAGAATATTTTTATTAAATAAATATAACTTAAAACACAAAATTCGGCTTCTTTAAAATGTGGACACCCTTAAATAATCGTCGAAAAAGTCGACTTCCGTCGAAAACATAAAATGTCGAAATCAGTTCGAGTTGGAATTTCATCATTGTATTTTCTTTTCGCTTCGCCAATTTGAATTATTGTTGTTCTGTCATTGCTTTTTCGGAACAGGGAAAAAGCTGTCCCGCTCTTCCCTCAGCAAATCGAGCTTACAAATTTTCGCTTCTTTTTGCAAATTCTCTCTGTTGTCGAAACAATCTCGCAGTTAAAATATTTTTCTGAAGAACATAATTTTCAATTCCTCAAAAGCAGAATAATTTTCTCAAATTAAGTCTCAAGAAAAATAAAAAAATATCTAAAAAGTAGATCTTCAAAACACGTGAATCAAAAAACAGTCCCTAAAGCAAGATGATCTCTTAATTATTGATGAGAATAAGGGTGTCACTATATAATCTCTTTGAGAAAACGAGCTTTATTCTTATTCCCATAAAAATTTTTTGACAAAATAGTAATTTTTACAAGGTTTTCTACGAGAATTATAGACAAAAGTTTCAATTCTAGTCTTCTTAAATAAGGGTAAACCCATGCTTATATAATAGACAATATCTTTTTGGATGCGTATCGAAGTATGGACAAAATAAGGGTTCAATCAATTTATGAAAGTGATTTTATGGATCAGGGTTCTGATTGGCAGGTAGCCCAAATACAGCAATCTTATTGGTTATCAAAAAATTCACTTCTATAAATTGGTTAAGTCCCAAAATAATGCCTGTTTAAATTTAAAAAATGAAAAAAAATATTTTTAGACAAAAAAATATTTTTAGACAAAAAAATATTTTTCTTGTGATAAATTCAATAAAAAAGAATTAAAAAAGCTCACTCCATAGATATCGAATTGAAGCTTCACTTCCTTCAAAATATCTTTGAAGAAAATGATTTTTCAACAATTTCAACTTAATTTTTTCGTTGTTTTCACATTTGGCTTCAGATAAACGACCCGAGATTGTCGTTATCTCCTCACAGCCCGATAAGGATACTTCGTCGATTCCAGATTCCTTTGTCTCGTCAAGCGTAGTCAACGGGAAATTCGACAAAGCTGGCAGCCGAGGTTCAGTGTCTGAAGAAGATTCCGGTGTTGGTTCCTGCCGAGATACCTCCAATCAATCTGACGCTGCTGATCAGACTGACACTTCCAGCCAGTCAGAAGACACCGTTTCTACCAAGCTTCGAAGGTTCATTACACTCATTTTTAGTCGAAAGCAATTTTTGTTTTCGAGATTGACCGATAGACACTGAGTCTGTCTGGTAGACAGTTGGAATTTAAAATTTAGCCAAAAATAATTTTTGATCAATTTTTCGCTCAAAAAATACATGAAAATTGACAAAATTGCGAAAAGACAGACGAATGTCTACCAGACTAAGTCTGTCAGACACTAGACTGTCTATAAGACTTATTTATCTTATTATGCGTCAAAAAACGTTTTACCAAATTGCGTAATCTGTAAATATGTTTGAATTGGCTCCATTGTCTACCAGACAGTTACTTGTCTATCAGACAGTGTCTTGCAGACACAACCTAAATTTCATAAAAAATGAAAAAAAGATGTGTGCTCTTAATTTATCTAAAATGGTCTGCTAATTTATCATAATTGTCTGCTAGACAGATTGAATCGTCTACCAACAACCATAAAAAGATCATTTTTGAAACGAAAAAATTCAGAAGCGATTCGACTTTGTCGACGATGAGCGCAATTTTGCCGACGAAAGAAAAAGAGTTGGATTTGACCGCTGAAATCGCCGCCGAGCTGGAGCAAATGAATGGATTCTCTCTTGAAGAAACGGGATCAAATGTGTGATTTTAGGCCACACTACCTGGGACGTGTTTGCCTCACTCTTCCTTTTTTCATTTTTCAAAAATGGGAAAATCGAAGTTCTAGTGGGAAAATCAGCTGTTTTTCTTTGTCAGAGGATCTATTTTTCCCGCCGGCGGGTGGCGCTGTTCCGCCGCTTCGCCGGGCCAATCAGAAACGCGCGTGCTTTCATTTTCTGATTAGGCAAGGCAATTTAGATTGACGTAATCTCAACAGAGACAATCTGAGTTACAAGAGTAGATCTGGATTATCCGCTGGGGTTATCACTTCCTAAACACGGGTCCTCACATTGTCGCGCGTGTTTTCAAAGCAGTGTAATTCCAGCTTGATTTTCGGATAATCCACCTGCTTCTACAACGAAAAATCAACTCGAAAATTAAGTAATTGCAGATTTTTGTTACATCGTTTTTGCTACTTTGTAACACTTAAATCTCTCTCACTTTCTTTTCAAAAAGCGAAATCGGCCCTTAACCCCCTGGCCCGGGCTTGGGGTCAAAAAAGACTCAATCGCGGCTGATCCCCACTTTTGAATCTTGATTTTCTCGCTCTCGTTGTTGAAGAAAAAACACAGCTTTTCGGAACTCTAGAATTTCAACCCTTCTCTTTTGGATCAAAAAATGGATCGAATTTGGCAGCACATGACTGTAACTGAACTACAGAGTCCCGAACTGTGTGCAACCACCCCCGCGCGCTACCTAGCCAAATCGACCCCGAAACTTGGTCGATCTGTCGCTAATTAGCGCGTTTGATTTGGGGTCGGGCTTCGGATCCCTTCCTGCTCTCAAGATCACCTCCTCCAGCTTTCACCTGAAGCGTCACCATTGACGGTAAGTCTTATTTTCTTCTATATCTTATTCAATTATTCATTAAAACCGACGATAAAATAACACTTCTTTTCTTAGTCTTTGGCCACCCTGGATCTGGTCTCTTGTTTGCCTTTGTCGCAAATCAAAATTAACCAATCAAAATCTTTCATTTCATTTTTTGGCCAATCTGCTTCAATCAGCGAAATTTTGAAAAATTGGATCATTTTAACACTTTTCCCTTTTTTCATCAAAAAATTTTTGAAGCAACATTTTTTTTTTGCTCTGAAATTTGACTCAAATTTTGAGTTTCACGAAGAGTCGAAAGAAAATTTCCCCAAAAGCGACATTTTTAGGAACGATATCCGGGCTCGGCGCTTTGCGCCAGCGCGAGCTTTTTTTGATCCCTTTTAGCCTCAAATAGGACGGTCCTAGACCTCGACCTGCCCAACCGAGGAGAGACTGATGCCAAGAAGAAGCGCAAACGACGAAAGCACCGAAAGGTCACCAAAGGTAAGCATTTTTGTTTTGTTTGGAGGATTGTTTGAGTTTTGTTTGAAACTTGTTTCATGTTGTTTCAACCTTGTTTTGGTTGTTTTAAATTTGTTTTGAACATGTTTCTTGTTGTTTTTGACAATTTATGGAGCCTCAAATTTGTTTGAAACATGTATGAATACTGTTTCAACAGTTTGTTTCAAACTGTTTTGAGTAGTTTTAATCAAGTTTTTATTCAATTTCGGGCTTTCAAACTTGTTTCAAGCATATAAAAGCTTGTTTGAAACAAGTTTATTGCCGTTTGAAATTATTGTTTTTCATAAAAACTTGTTTTAAACATGTTTAAAGCTTGTTTGAGTCTGTTTAGAGCTTCTTAAGAATCAAAACCGTTGTTTGAATAATCCAAAACAAGATTTGTCGCACACAACTTTTGTTTGAAACCTGTTTTCAACAACACATTCTAAGATAAACAACTAACATTTGTTTTTAGCAACATCGGAAACTGAGAACGACGAAGTGAAGGAGTTTTAGACGAGTTCATTTCTGCACACATTCCCCAAATTATCTCTAATGCCTTCTAAACTGATATAATTCCCTTTCGACTAAGGTTCCCCTAGGGTTATTTCGTAAAGTTTAATGGCTGTAAATAGCACGCTTTCCCAATAATTGTGAATAGATAAAAAAAACACCACCCGTGTGGACTTTGAACTCGTCTCGACGCTTTTCTGAGCTTTCTCTTTTTTTCCATGCTCGGTTTTTCGCCCTCCCCACCCTTAATTTTCAACCCGAAATTTCGACCAATCAAAAAATAGTTCAAAAAACCCGGAAACCCAAGAAAATCGAGCATGGAAAAGGAGCTAGCTTTCAAAAAGCCGGAAAACGAGAAAAAAAGGCTTTTTTGGACTCCTAACCAATCAAAACTGCGAAAAAACGAAGATGGAAAAATCCTCCTCTTTCAATTTTCACGTGATCAGATGCTGTACATGTTGTTTGAAAAAACTTGTTGCCTAGTTTTACACTCGTTTGCTTGGTTTTTGAGATTTGCTTAAGGGTATCTCTTTCTAACCGAAAAAAACGCAGTTATTTTACTTTTCCTCTGTACATACCTTAAAACTCGTCAATTTAAAATTTCGTTTTCAAAAATTGAAATGAAAATTTCAAATTTTCAATTAAAAAAAAACGTAATTTAAAAATTTTAATTTCAAAAAATTTCGAAAAATCGATTCCAAAGCGATGCGGAAGAGGTTTTTTGAATTTTGATTGTATACTAATATTTTTTGCGCCTAACAATTTTTATGACGACTCCAAGTCGAAATAAACTTTTACTTATTTGCGCTTTTGCGCTTTTGAGTTAATTCTTATAAACAACAAAAACTTTGCGTCTCTTTCTTATGCAGGAAACCAATCAAAGCAGGAAAACTTAAGGGTGTACCCTTAATTTAAAACTTAAATTTAACAAGCTTTTTTAGCTGAAAATGTCTTGAATAAAGACTTTTTTCATGGAAAGTTTTCGTATCTAGTCAATTTCCAAAAGGAACCTTATCGTTGTCGATACCCTTAAGTGTTGCTTAGTCGAAACCCTAAGAATTCACTTAAAATTAAAACTTTGTTGCCTTATTTTCTTTCATTGGATCAAATTTGGAAAACTACTTTAGAAAAAAGCTTCTTTAAATGATGACACCCTTAATCTTCTATTACTGCCTACAGCCTTAGGAGGAAAATTTTCCAGGATTCTCATGAAAACTCATGTTTCCAAGAATGATACCCTTAATTGAAAAACTAACTAAAAACTTATAAATGGCTAGTTTTGATGTTGATACCCTTAATTTTGGGCAAAATTAACGCACAAAAACAAGGAGTTATATACACAGTGTAGTCCCTTAAAATTTAAGGAACGATGACACCCTTAAAATTGGAGTTTTTTACATCAAAAACCTTGAAAATTAGAGATGTGGATGAAAGAAGTCGAAATATAAACAGAGTACGATCTGATGACGTAATCAGGGGCCGCGTGGTCTTGCTCCGGATCTGATAAGCCCTCCTCTCCCGCCGAGTTCTGAGCTTGGCCGTTTACGCATCAACGCGCGATAAAGATAATGAGCCCCTAGCACTCCCGAGCCAGATTTTCCCGAAATTCAAAAAGCGTCACTCTTTCTTTTTTCAACCTAAAAAATACTGGTCAAAACAGTAATTTTACTAAAATCACTTTCTTTTCTTTCCCGCGACCTTTTTTCTAGCGGCTTTTTCAAACGTGGAAATCGAAGCTTAGAAACCACAATGCCGCCTTTTTAACAGTATTTATTTAGAGCTAGAATAATGGCTAAGATAAATGATGATAAATTGAGGTTTTTAAAGGGTTAGGGTTAGGGTTAGGTTTATTATGAAACCCATATTTTTGGAGTGGTGTCTGGAACCGACGAAAAATTTCGACAAATTTTGCGTGGGCGGCTATTCGGCTGCTGATTGGCCGGTTTACTGGATCCAGGCTTCGGATTGGTTGAAAATTTCTACGCAAAATTTTCGAATTTTTGTCGGTTCCAGACACCTCCTCATATTTTTAGACTAAAATTTTGGTCAAATTTTAGACCAATCAGATCCTCGGAGAGAATTTTGTCGAAAATCGTCGATTCTAGCGAAACTTAAATGGTTCGGATAAAATTTAGGGTTTGGGTTTCAAGAAACAGCGGAAATTTTAAGATACCTCTTTGGATGAAGACGCAAAAAATACGTGTTTTTTCAAAATACATTTCCATTCCAGACCAAAATTAAAAACGTCTTCAGCTAGTTTTTCCTATTTTTCCACCTTTCACTAATTCTAGTTTTCGTTTTTTTTATCAAGCAGACGAATTACGCATTGCGCAAGTTTTCAAGCTCTGTTTAGACTACTTCTGATAAAAAAAAAAAAACTCCAGCCTCCTTTTCAACCCTTTTTTGGACTGTTCTTTTTGTTTGTTTATTTCTGCTCCGTTCCAAAAAGTCGTCAGCTGTCGTCGCCAAGAAAATCGCTTCTTGTTGCTTTTGAATTTTTGTCAAGCCGGGGCAATCGCGTTTTTCCGAAAATGATGCTCTTACTGACAGCCTTGTCAAATCCCTTCAAAAGTGTTGTTTTTTCAAGCCGCCAATTTTTCAACTACAGGGAAAAAGTTCTACACGAAATTTTTTAAAATCACCGTGAAATCTAATTTTTCAATTCAAAAACAGATCTTTCAAATAATTTTTTTCTACAAGAATTATCATAGTGACACCCTTATTTGTTGTCTTGATTATTTAAGAGTTCTCTTTTGAGAATAGCCGTTATATATCCTAACATATTGACACCCTTATTTTTAATGCTAAAAGATTAATTTTCAAATTGTATTTTGAAATAAAAAATAAGGGTATCACTACGCAAGTGATTTTTTTGAAAAATTCTGTTCTTTGTTGAAAACCTTCCCCTGAGAATAAAATTGTGATACCCTTATTTCTTGTCTTGATTTTTAAGAGTTATCTTTTGAGAAAAGCCTTTATCTTTCATAACATAGTGACACCCTTATTCTGAATGCTAAAAGATAAAATTATAAATTGTATTTTGAAGTCAATAATAAGGGTATCACTTTTAAAATTTAATTGTCAAAAAGTTATATTCTCCGTTAAAAAATCTTTCCCAATGAATAAAACTATGACACCCTTATTATAATAAGAGTTCGAAATCGCCTTTTCGAAATATAAAAAATAAGGGTCTCACTATGAAAGTGATTTTTTGATCAGTTATGCTCTTCGTTTGAAAAAGCTCCAGGAATAAAATTGCGACACCCTTATTTTATCATTCCCAAATAAAATTTGTCGTTTTATCTTTTGAAAAATTAATAAGGGTATCGCTTTGTTTAGAACAAATAAAAGTAATGTTATTTCTAATGCTGAGTTTTTTCGCTCTAAGACTTCTTCAAAGCGCCGCCAGAGTCTATACTTTTCCCGAAAAAGGTTGTTTTGAAAATGCGCGGAAAAGTTACGGAAGCTTCTTTCCAGATGTTTCGATGTTTTGGCGCGGTGGCGTGACCCCGAAAGAAGGGCGCTCAAAGTTTGACTTTGACACCGCGGCCGGCCACCTGATCCAAACGGCGTTTATTTCCCCCACATTGGGGTCGCCCGCTAAACCAGCTTTCCCAGAAACAGCTCAACAGAGCTCAAGCCTTCTAATAACAAGAAGATATCGCTTTTGCGCGCTGAAAAGAAGCTTTTCTTCAAAAAATTTAATCCTCGATATTAATTGGTCAAAGTAGATTTTTGAGCAATTTTATTCGTCCAATATAAAAATATGAAAATGAGTTGCGTCAACAAATTCTAGCGCGTCACGTGTTCAAGAATTCGAAGCCACGGCGAACACGGCTGCTTGTCATTAGTCGACGAAAGGTTATCCGAAAAGAACTCAGCTTCTCAACTTTGAATGATTTTGCTTTTCCCAGACAAGGAAAATTAGGGTTAAATTTTCAAGCTTTTATTGGTTTTGGAGAAAGAATGTACAGAATTATTTAAGGATTTTTATGTTCCAGCGGACATAAAAGTTGTTTCCTTTGAGTTTGACCATTCCATTTTGATCAGGCGTCAACTTCTTCGCCGAGTTGTAGCGCTTCCCATCTCCAGCGCGAATATCGTCCGCGTCGGCTTGAAAGTCGACGCGTTTTCCTAAAAAATAAAAATCTCAAATTCAAAAATCAATACCGTTGAAAAGAATCCACATTTTCCAGAAGCCGTCACCGCCGTAGTATTCGTTCCTCGATTGATGTCGGATTGTCCAGCCAGCTTCCGACACTTCTAAATTTTCGTCCCAACGAAACTTTATTTTGGATGAAAATCGCGTCGAAACAAAAATCTTAAAAACTAATAAATGCGATATTCTCCAATTCCTTCAAATTAAACTCCGTCAGTCCTTCTGCCATTGCTTTCAGCACTCTTCGCACTGCTGCTTCGGAGTGGTTATCTCGGACAGAATAAGAGTCGTTGCCGTTGTAAAATCCAAATCCAATTTTCCAAAGATTGAACTCTTCTTTCGCAAGCGATACTATCATTGAAGTGATTTCTTTCTCGAGGGATTCGTTTGTCTTCTTCAGCTTTTCATTGTCTTCGATTTTCGCCAGATTCTCCTTGTTCAAATGCTCGTTGATAACTTCTGTCGTCTCCACCCGATTCTTTCCAAAAACCAAGTCCTTCGGTTGAATTCGATTTTGAAGCTGTTTTATCAAACTGACGATCGAGCGGTGATTCATCAAAGCTGCTGCGTTTGCTGCCCGTTCTCTGACGTCGATTTTGAGACATTCTTTGATCAGACTTTCCATCGCCGGGAAAACTACTTCTGCAGGTCTTCTTACATTTTGAGCGATGTTGTTCATTGTTTGGAAGAGATTTCCAGTTGCGAAAGGGTGTCTTTATTGAGTTTAAGATTACAAGTCTTTTTGAGGAATTTCAAAAAAAAAACGAATCTTTTATACTGTTCCTGAAAGTGCAGACCATTTGAAAAACTACGCCCATCGCCCAAATATCGTGTTCAAAGGTTA